GGTGGATGGCGGGCAGATGAAGTTATGCTGTAGGACTCGACTTCCTTTACTAATTCCATCACAAATAGCAAATTCTACTACATCCATTAGAATGACCCCATCCATTTGTTTGTTTTTGAGACAGAGTCTCACTACATAGTACTGACTGGCCTGGAACTTATTATGTAGATCAGGCTAGCATCGAACCCACAGAGATCTGCCTGCCTCTGCCTCTTGATTACTGGGTTTAAAGGTGGGAGCCACTATGCTCAGCCAATGACTATTGTTGTTGTTGTTTTAATCAAAAACAAGAGAAAATGACTAGTGTCACTAAAGATGTGAATACTTGTGTGCCATTATTAGGACTGTAAAATGGTGCAGCCACTACGGAAAAAATAATAATTACTGCATGACCTAGCAATCCCATTTCTGGGTATATATCCAATGAATATATAAATCAGAGTCTGAAGAGACCACTGAAAACCCATGCCCATAGCAACATTATTCAAATGAGCCAAAAGTAGAATCAGCTGAAGTATCCATCAACAGATAAATGAATAAGAATGTGGTGATTTGGGAGGTGTGGAGTTGATGGTATAGTCAGAAGCACAGCTACCTTCCAAAAAGAGGTGTACACACACAGTGGAATGCTATTCATCCTTTAAAAGAGGGGAAGTTCTGGCTCATGCTGCAATATGGATGAACCTCAAGGACATTCCACTAAGTGAAATGAGCCCATCATAAAAGGACAACTGCTTTGCTGTATGAGTTCACTTACATGAGGCACCTAAAGTAATGGCATTCCCAGAAACAGAAAATGGAATAAAGGCTGCCAGGGGCTGGTAGGTTGGAGAATGGGGAATCGTTTAATGGGGACAAGAGTTTCAGTTTGGCACAGTGAACAGAGTTCTCAAGACAGTGGTGATGGTTTCATGACAATGTGAATTTTGACATAGCCAAACTGCTGCTCACCAGGTAACAGCATAGAATAGACAGGAGGAAAGACACAGCAGAGCCTTAGCCTCACCTCCCACAACCCTCGCTGGGGCTCCAAGCAGAACACCTACTGCTTACCAAGCCTGTTCTGGGCTTTTGTATATAGTAGCTGACTCTGTCCTCACAATAATCCTGTGAACTGAGTGTCACTATGGAGAAGGTAAGACATTTTTTTTTAATTTTTAAAAATGATTTATTTAATAACAACATACTTAGAAGAAGACATAGGTAGAATGAGGTCACCTCAGGTCCACTGGAGGATGGAGAGATGAATCTCTGTAGTCTGGGCTCTTATCACCTCGCAACAGTGTCCCCGAGAAACACAGGGACCAGGCAGTAGAGGTGATCAGAGGACACTGTGAAGTTCAGCTGACTGTCTTAATCACATGATCATAATAATGGGTATTTCTATTCAACCGCCAATTTCAACACGAGTTCCCATATAACTGTGGGGAAGCGTGGAGAAGTATGAGCCTGCCTGTGTGTTCTGAATGGCTGCTGTCAAATTCCCCTCTTCACAGCACAAATGCACAGGTACACATCTCAAACTGGAAGACCAAGCTGATTCAGCTCTGTTCCACACCTAGAAGGCCCTCAAAAATCAGTGTTTGTGTGGCTCGGTGGCACTGTACAAGTTTGAGGACCAGAGTTCAGATCCCCAGAACCCACATAAATTCTGAATAGACGTGACAGCCACCTGTGGTTCCAGTACTTGCTCGCTTGGAAAGTAGAGAGAGGAGATACAAGAACAATCTGACTAGCCATATGGCTGTATCAGTGAGCTGTGGGTTCAATTGAGAGACCCTGCCTCAATGAATCTGGTAGAGAGTTATCAAGGAAGACTCCTGATGTCAAGCTTGGGCACACACACACGCACACACGCACACACACACACACACACACAGTTGTTCAAGGTCTCTATTTCACACCTTCATTGGCACATTTACACAATCCTGCAGTACAAAGGCTGCTTTCTGTTCTCTCTCTCTGACACACTGTGTGTGTCATGGCAAATGGCAGAGCAACATGCTGTGGCAATTCCATTTTTGAAAGAGTATGCATATGTGTATTTATTTGTAAACACATGGGATGATAAACATAAAGTGTCTGCAAGATAGATGAGGAAGAGGTGGCTTTCTTGATATACTGTTCTTAAATTATGGCAATGGGTATTTGTTATTTTAATAATTGAAGATTTCAAATGTATTTAAGAGTGGCAAAATGGCTTAGTGAGTAAAGGTGCTTACTGCCAAGCATAAATAAAGTGAAAAAATAATTTAAATGTATTTAAATGCTCACCACATATATTGTTATTCAGATCATGTAATTTCCCTTTTCAAAACTCTCCAGTAGGGTTGAAGGCATAGCTTGGTGGTGGAGGGCTTGCTAGCAAGTGTGAGGCCACAGATTTCAATCCACACTCCTCCATGGCCTTCAAGCTTTCTCTGATCTGCCCTCACTGGTCCCTTTGTCTTAAGTTTGTCTCCCTGACCTGATGATCAGCAGCCACTGAGTCCTCTACCCAGGTCTTTCTGCTTTTTTGCTTGCTGTTCCCTGTACCTAGACTCTCTGCTTCTCCCTCCCTCCCATGCATGATTTCTTCTCTTTACTCAGATTTAATAATAATTTTTTTGGTCTTTTTGAGACAGGGTTTCCCTGTAGCCCCAGCTGGCCTGGAACTCACTATGTAGAGCAGGCTGGCCTTGAACTCACAGAGATCCACCTGCCTCTGCCACCCAAGTGCTAGGATTAAAGTTGTGTGCCACTGTGCCTGGCAGATTTAATAATAATTTAGTTGCAATCACTACCCTCTCAAAGACATCCCTGACTATTCCTACAAACATGGCCCCTACACACTAACGAGGGGAGGAAAGTAGTGTATTGAGTGGTAAGTGGTTGGAAGAATGTATGTGGGTGGGGTGGATAATGAGGGAGTGAGTAAATGGGTAGGTGGGAGGGTAGATGGAAAGGGTAAGTGGCTGGCTGTCTGGCAGGCTGGATGGATGGATGGATGGATGGATGGATGGAAGGGAGACTGGAAGGATGAATGGATGAATGGGTGGGAGGTGGGTTGGTAAATAGAAAGGGTAAGTGGATGAATGGATGGATGGCTGGATGAATAGAAGGATAGATGGATTGAAAGATGAATGGAAGGATGGATGGGTGGGTGGAAGGTGGCTGGGTAGATGGAAGGGTAAGTGGGTGGGTGGATGGATAGATGAATGGATAGCTGGCTGATTGATTGTCTCTCAGGTCAGTAGACAATGACCCAGTTGATTCATTACAGAACCCTCTGTGCTTCTCCCCCTCCCTCAGCACAGGTACCCAGATTGTAATGATGGTGGAGACAAAAATTAGGAAGTACTGGGACACCTGCAGACAATTTGGGAATTCTGGGACTCATGCCTGAAGTAGAGTGCCCACATGGCCATCCAGGAGTTACTCCCATAGCCCTACCACAGATATGAGGAACCCACTCTGGGCCCTGAGCCAGGAAATTTCAGGTTGTCTGTGAAGCCCTCACTTCATCGGCCCAGCCCCAAGTCCAGTTATCAGGCAGCACCTTCAGCTAAAGAAAGGAAAACTGAGGTGACCACAGACTGGTAGGAAATGCCTCCAAACCCAGTGACCTGGCCAAGGAGACAGCAGCCCTGGTGGAGAAGGGGCTCAGCGGTGCAGCTGTGCTTGTCAGACATATGCCAGCAGGGGGAGCCCTCCTCAAAGCCCAGAGGGACTTTGGTCCTCCTACTGCCTGCTGGAAGGGTGGATGTGGTGGCAGGGGCACCAAGACCTGGTTCTTGATCTAGATGAGGTGAGCTGGGGAATGTCTGGGTGAAGTGAACTGGGGATAGAGTCAGATGAGGGAGAGACTTTCTACTTATCTGGATTTTACACAGGCAGGATGTGTTTCTTACACAACCATGAATAAGCTTAAAAAAACAAAAAGGGGCATTTTAAAGTCTTTCTAGCCTTGGATTTCTGAAGAATGTCTGTGCCCTTGAGCTGGACCCACGACCTCCTCCCAGGATATACTTCCAGGCAGATTTTGTGCTGGATGCCAGGGGAAGGTGTTCTTAAAGTCTGGCACCCATTTGAAAAGCCCTAACTATGTGATTCTGCACATGACAACCCTAGATGTAGCCGTCAGGTGTGAAACCTCCCTCAGCTGTGGCATCCAGCATGCCTCTGCCCCTGGATCTCCAGATTCAGGAGAATCCCCCAATTAAGACTGAAACATCTCAACTGTGGTTCATAGATGCCCACATTTGTAAGCCAAGATATACTTATAACAGCTTGTCATATCCCTGCCTAGGTCCCAGGCACTGAGAACCCCTCCTTTCCCCCCTGAATTCGCTCCAAAGTGGAGCAGCGCTTTGGGTATATAGTTGAGCCCAGGCTGCTTCCCTACCTCCAACAGGCTGGGGGCCTTGGTATCTGCTGAACAAGGGGTGTTCAGAGACTTTATTTTGGCCCAGCAGTGCTCAACTAGGGGGACTAGAGACAGTTGTCATGATTGGTGACCCTCCTGGCATCTAGTGGAAGAGGCCAACCGACAAAGAATTACCCAGCCCCAAATGTCAGCAGTAGTCACTGAGGAAGGCTGTTAGCCACACACAAGAGGGGAGGTGTGCTAGGGAGAGCTGGACAAGAGGAGATGACAAGAAAAGAGAGGAATTGAGTGGAATGAGTGGGCAGAAACAAACACTTGACATAGGGTAGACCACCTGGGTTCCACTGGCCTAGTCAAGTCACTTAGCTCCCTGTGTCCTCATTTACCAAGAAGTACCCAAGAACTGGACAAGCTAAAGGAGAAAGGATCTGAATTTTCCCCTGGACAGGGAAGATGCTCAATGATAAGGGGTGGGGCTGAAGTTGGGGGATTCAGGGACGTAGTAGCTACCTTCAGCTAATTCTCAGAATTCCAAAGAAGCCCCAGGACCCAGTTTTTTTTCATCTTTCCTGCCCCAGGGCACACTCAGCAACCAGGCCAGGCTAGGATGAGGTGTGGCAGACCTGGTACTCACCACTGTGGCTTTCTCCATCGCTGCTGAGATAAGGGTAGTATTCATGTGTTTGGCGTGGGTACAGTTCCGATTCATAAGTAACCAGCTCATCTGATGGCTGCTGAGAGAGGAAGGTGTTAGGACCTGGGCTGTAAGGGGAGATACCCATCAGGTTTGCAACCAGGTTTGAGGCCCTATAACTTCCCTGACTGAGGCTCCTGGAAGCAGCCCAATCTGCTTAGAATCCAGAGTAGTCAGGGCCACAAGGAGTACGGCAGGTGTGGGTGGTTCAGGAGAGTAGTAAGGCAGTGATGGGGTGAAGAGGTCAGAGGTCAACAGAACCAGAGCTGAGAGGAGGGTGCAGCCCCTTCTTCTCCGTTTCTGCTCACTCCCCACAGCCCCCTCACACTCACACCCAAACCTGTGGAGGCATGTTGCGCTCTCACATTCACACCCATGCACCCTTCCCCCAAATGTACACATATTCCCTTTGATACACTTACACTCAAACCCCCATGGGGACACATCCTTACATGTCTACACGCACTCTCAGCCCCCTGTCCCCATCTCATACACAGGCATTCTCACACTCACAAACCCACACTGCACACGTCTTTATACCCACTCTGAGGATCACTCACACTCAAAAAAAAAAACACTGTTCACTCACCCCTGTGGGCACACACACAGACAAACACACACACACACACACACACACACACACACACACACACACACACTGAATTCCTGCTTTCAACTCATTCACACCCACAGCCTTCCACAGAACCACCCACATTCCATCTGCATACTCGCCTGCCACAGACTGCCCAGCCCATTCCTCCCTCCTTGTCAACCTGTGTCCAGCCTCAGGCAGGCACAGGGCCACCATGACAACTATCAGGCTGATAGCTTGAATAGAGATCACTCAGACAGGCTTTGGGGACCGAAGGATAGAGGGCCTTGGTTTCTCACTAGCCTTTCTCCCTCCTCCTTCCAATGTCCTCACTGGGAGACTCCCTGTCCCCTGTTCCTTCCTCCTCCTCCACCTCCTCCTCAGCCTCTACCCTCCTTGTCTTCCTTCTCTCCCTCCTCCCTGTCCTTCTTTCCCCACCCTCTCTCTCTCTGGCTTGAGCACAGAGACCAACACACTCAGAGCCATCCCAACAGTCATCAGGCTTTTCCCCACCCCCATAGTGTGTGCCCATGGATTGTGCAACAGTAGCTATGGCCCTTGGGAGACTTGCCTAGGGATCCAGAGCTGCCTCAGGAGCCCACCCTCTCAAGAGACACTCAGAGTGGCTCCTGGGTCTGGAGAGAGGGGCTGATGGGTTGGAGTAGGGACTCAAGAAGCTCTGCCCCTGTCCAGCTCTGCCTGGGGTTCACAACTGAGAGGTCAAGGGTTGGGGACAGTATGGTGAAGTCCTAGGGCCAGAGGCTTTCTTGAAGCAAAGTGTGCTCTTTTGGGGACGACCTCCATCACCTGGACTTTCTCCCTTCACCTTCTTGGTGCCAGGTGGGAGAAGAGGGTCAGGGTAGGGATAGGGCCAGTGAGGTCTGGCCAGTCCTGTCTACTCGCCCCCCAGGTTTCCAGGCAGCGGACTGGGCCTGTCCCTGCTGCAGGATGTAGGCTGTAAAGTCAGGCCTTGGGTGCCTCCTACAGCTCTGAGGCGGGGTAGAGCGGGGGAAGAGAGCTGTCTCTAGGCCGGGAAAGCTGAGTCAGGTGGGCAGACCCTGCTCAGCCTTTCCTGGCTCCTCCCATGCCTCCAAGACTGGGAGAAGGCAGGAGAGTCCCTCTCCAAGGGACCCTGAGCTGCCACTTACCTAAGACTGCAACTGTCACTGAAGGCAGGAGGAGCAGTGGAAATCTGCCTACCAGCTTGCCCTACCCATTCCAGAACCAGGAATCCCACATCTTCATCTCCAAACTTGTTCCTGTCCTTGTCCCACCCTAACTCCAGTCCAGTGCTCATCCAGCCCCTTTTCCAGCCAGAATCTCAGCTCCATCCTTCGCCTGGCTTCTCACTGAACTCAGCTCTGGCCCCAAACCTAACAGCAATGTTTTTGCCCCATGCCCTGCTCTTGCCCAGGCTGGCCCCAAGACCTCAAACCAGGCCTGATGACTGCCCCAGCCTGCCCGGGACGTGTAGGCCCAAGGCCAGACCACTTGGGTCAACAGCCATTCTCCTGTGCCAGGCCCCAGACTAAGTGCTGGGAATCCATGGTGACCAACTTCCATCAGCCTTTGTCTCAAGAGCCCCCAAGTCAGGGGTTAACACCTCTGCCTGTTGCCTTCTGTCCTCAACTCTTCTCATCCTGAGGACTGGTCTTCTCCAAGCCAGCCTCCCCATGTCCTCATCCATGGCTTCTCTGTAGCCGCCCTCACCATCCTCAGCCAAGCACCCTGCCCTGGAGCTCGGCCTGCCACTGAGCCCCATCTATAAATAACTGTTCAGGCCCCACCGATCACAGCCCCACCATGAGCCCAGCCGGCAGCCCTCAGCCCGCCAGGGCATGCTCTAAGGAAGCCAATGGCCCCTCGCTGGGTCTCAGGCCAGCAGCTCCGGGGAGGAAACACCAGCTTCCCACTGATAGGGAGCCGGAGGGCAGCGGGTGGGCTGGTGGGTTAGTGGGCAGGCCGTCGGGTATCCCAGGGCCATGGGTTGGGTTGGTAGTGGAGCCCCAGTACTCACAGGGGGGACGAGGGGAAACCCTTCCATTTTGCACGCCTGTAACATCCAGCTGAGCTCCAAGTCGGTCAGATCCCCTGCCTCGGTGGGGGCCAGTGCGAAGCCCCTCAGGACGGGGTTCCCCGTCTGGGGGCTGGATGGTCGTGGGACAGTCTCAGGGCTCAGGCCTGCCCCCTGAGCTACAGGAGGCCTGGTTGAGCCCCCTCCCTTGACATTGCAGGGCCAGCACAAGTTCCTGATTTTATCGAAGGGCCTGCCACTGGGAGATAGTCCCCTTGGGGTGACATCACCGCCCCAGCCCGTTTGCATAAATCTCTTGCGCTACAGGAAGTCTCTGGCCGGCTGGGGCAGGTGGTGCTCAAAGGGCAGCCCTGGGAGGCCATGGGGGCCAGGCCCCCTGCCCAGAGGAAACAGGCTGGGAAGGAGAAAGTCTAGCTCTACCACTGGAAGGCTTCTGTTGCCTTAGCCTCCAGACCTTGCTAAAGCCGTCCAACACTCCTCCAGCCCAATAATGCTGACTTCTTCTATGACCTCCAATGTGACCAACTGTCACCTTCTCGGGGTCAGAATGATGGGAGTTTGAGGTCCCTACTGTCTGGGGTGAGCCTGGCAGGCTGAAGCCTTTAATCCCAAGGCTACCAGACCTGGCTCTTCCTGTGGACCCTGCATGATAGGTGTACCTAGTTCAGGCAGGGCCCAGAGTGTGTCTTTTGCCTACCACTACCTAGCTCCTTTTCTGGCTCTTCAAGTGGACTTGCCATCCACCTGGAATGGGCCTTGGCTTTTTACCCCTTCCTTTCCTAGTTACCACAGCTGCTTCCAGATCCCTAGGGAATTTGTTCCTAGTCCAGATTCCTGTTTCCCCACTCATTGCCAATGTTGAAAATCTATCTAGTCTTCCCAGTTTAGAAAACTTTCATGCATACTTATCCTTTTATCTGTTTTCCTATCAAGACATCTAACTGGTTGTGTGTTCATCTATCTACTCATCATGCCAAATATACATTCATTTATCTGTTTATCCAATTGCCCATTCATGTTTCCATCAGTCTGTCAGTCAGCTCATCCATGAGTTTATTTACATGTCCACTTAGCCACCTGTTTGTGTATCAGCCCATCCGTTATCAGATTATCAGTTCCTATTTTCATTTGCTTCTCTGCCAATCTGGCCATCTATTGGCCCATTCATTCACTTACACATTCGCTCATGCATCTACACATCCGTTCGTTTACCAGTACATCCATCTACCTGTCTATCCACTCATCCACTCATCCACCCATCCACTCATTCACTTGTCTACCTATCCATCTGTCTTCCTGTCTATCCATCTACCCACGTCTACCCATCCTCCTATGTCTCCATCTACTTACTCATCTCCTCACCTATCTATTCATCCACCTGTCTATCCATCAACCTATCCATCCATCCATCCACATAGCCATTCATTCATCCATCTACCTATCCATTCATCCATCTAGCCACCTAGCCATTCGTCCATCAACCTGACTATCCAACCACCTACCTGTCCACATATCTATTCATCCATCCATGCATATATTTTAATATTAATTCCACATTTCATGTTGAGTTATGGGAAAGTAGAAAGGCCCCCTGTCCTTCAGAGATCTAATCTTGAGGGTGGAGGATGAATCAAGTTTCTTCCTCCCACCCCCTCCCTTGACCCCTGGTGATTCTACTGTGCTAAGGAAGGACTTCTCAATCCTTCAGTTTCCTCCTGTGTATACTGTAAGCTCTTATTTTATGTTCCTTTTCCACTAGCTGGAACCCTTCCTCAGCCTCAGTGTTTCTTCACTGCCAGCTGAAAGGCTCCTAGTCTGCCCCTAATCACAAATAATAACCCTAGGCTCATTATTGTGTCAATTTCACTTCCATTCCCGCTGTTTTTGTTTTGTTTTGTTTTTTGTTGTTTGTATCTGCTCTTGGGACTCCCCAAAGGGTCCAGGTCACATAGCCTCAGGACTCCTGGAAACCTGACCCAGCCCCCTCCTGGCCAGATGAGGAGACACCAGCTGGCCTGATAGCTACACCAATGTAGTTCCTTAATTCCTCAACAAGAAGGTCAAGCTCCAGGTGTCTAGATTGTGGAGGGTAAGGTTGTCTGCTCTGTGAATACCAGGCCCTGCTTGATATGTTTGTTTATTCATTGATTCATTCAGTCATCCATTGTTTTTTGCTTATTGAGTCTTTTTGAGACAGGGTCTCACTATGTAGCACTGGCTGTCCTTCAACTGGCTAAACTTGTTATATAGACCAGAGAGGTCTCGAACTCAAAGGTCCACCTGTCTCTACCTCCTGAGTGTTGGGATTAAAGGTAAGCACCACCATGTCTGGCCTTCGTTCATTATTGTTTTTGGATTGTTTTCTTAAGGTCTTTAGGTATAGCTCTGGCTTGCCTAGAACTTGCTGTATAGTTAGTTCTAGGCTAGATTCAAATTTGTGGTAATCATCCTGCCTTTGCCTCGACAGTACTGGGATTACAGTGTGAGCTGCTATGTATAACCTTGGATTGTTTCCTTCATTCTCTTTTCCTTCCCTTCCTTCCTTCCTTCCTTCCTTCCTTCCTTCCTTCCTTCCTTCCTTCCTTCCTTCCTAACTTCCTTCCTTCCATCCTGTCTTTCCTTCACTCCCTCGTCTCCCTCTCCTCCTCTTCCTTTTTTTCTTCTCTCTCGCTCGCTCTCTTTCTTTTTGCAAGGGTCTCTAGCTCAGGTTGCCCTTGAAGATGACTTTGATCTTCTAATCCTCCAGTTTTCACCTTCAGAATGCTGGAAACATGAACCACTACACCCAGCTGCCAGGTTTATGTGGTGCTGGAAATGAAGACTGAATTCCACACTTCCTGTATAGGCAAGTACTCTACTAACTGAGCTACATTCCCAGCCCCTAGAGTGTTTTTTCTTTTTCTTTTAAAAATAATATTTAGGGGGCTGGAGATATGACTCAGCAGTTAAGAGCGCTGGCTGTTCTTGCAGAAGACCGGCATTCGAATCCCAGCACCCACATGGTGGCTAACCATCTGTAACTCCAGTTCCAGAGGATCTGACGCCCTCTTCTGTCCTCGGTGGGCAGGTGCACTTACACATATGCAGGCAATATACTCATACACATAAAAAATAAATCAAAGAATATTTAATTCTGTGAGAATTTCTTACAATGTATTTTGGTCATATTCACCCATCTCCTCCCATATATACCCCCAGCTCCCTACTCAGCCAGCTTTGTGTCCTCTTTTTGTTTTTAAAAGGCCACCAGTTGTTTTCTTTATGTATCTGTTTATTCATGCCTTCATTTATCCCCAAAGTAATGTGTTATTGAGTGTCTTCTATGTGCTGGTCTTATAAAGGAACACAAATATAAATGAAGCCTGCATGGCCTATGGCATTCACAGGCCTATAGAGAGACATGTAAACAGACAGTGGGGCTATTTGCAGAGGTAATAGTTTCATGTGGGTACAATTTATTTGACCAGGGTCACACATATGACAGCCTGGGGACAAGGTGTAAGGGAAAGGATATGACTAGGTGAGGAAGCAGCCTGAGCAGAGGCAAGAAGCTAGAAAAGAACCCAGAGAAGTCAGCTCATCACTGTGGCTGAGAGCAAGGCAGGACAGGAAGGCAAACAGCCTTGAATGCCCAGCCAAGCCTCAGTGCAATACAGAGCCAACAGGGGAGCTTCTGTTAGTTCTAAGGAAAGAGTATGGGGTATTGTCCAGTGTTTACGACAGGAGACCAGGTTGGTTGTGTTCCCAAGGAATAAGATTCAAGGGGCATGTATTTCATTGCTCTCAGCCTGTCAAATCCAAGGGGTCTGCATAAGGCAGCTCATAAAAGAGATATAGGGTGGTGGGGCTAAAAAGATGGCTCAGTGGTTAAGAGCACTGGCTGCTCTTGCAGAGGACCCAGGTTCGATTCCTAGCACCCACATGGCAGCTAACAACCATTTCTAACTCCAATTCCAGGGGATCTCACACCCTCTTCTGACCTTCACGGGCACTGTATGACATGGGTTCACTTACATACACACATGCAGGCAATACACTTATACACATAAAATAAAAATAAAATATTTTTAAAAGAGATACAGGATGGTGCGAGGGGGGTAGCTCAATGGTAGAGCACATGCTTAGTAATGCATAATAAGGTCCTGGATGGTTCTCTCCCACCCTCTGGGCAACACACTATCCTGAGTGCACATCAACAGTCTTCCCACTCTTCCTCCCAAAGCTTTTCCAGGTTTTTTCCTCTCCTGGGGACCAGCTGTTATTCAAATCCTGGAATCCTAGATTTTAATAAAGTCTAAGTCAAACCTTGCATCTTGAAGTCGGGGCCCAGGGTCCACATGAAGTCTCCTAGTCTGCCCCTAATCACAAAGGAAAACAACTGAGACTCTGCATGCACTGTGATGCTGAGCTGATGCAGTCAGCAGGTTAATCGTCAAAGGCAATTTTCAGTTTGTAATGGGCTTATCAAGATGTCATTCCATAATCCTTTCATAGGCTATGGAGTATCTATGTGGTTGTGATAGACTTTTTTAAGCTTTTATTTTTATTTTTAATTATGCATATATCTGTGTGTGGGCATCTGCATGTGAGTGCAAGTGCTCCCAGAGGCCAGAGATATCAGATCCCTCAAGAGCTGGAGTAACAAGTGGTTGTGAACTACCCAACATAGGTTCTGGGAATTGAATTTGGGTCCTCTGAGGGAGCAATGCACGCTCTTAACCACTGAGTCATCTCTCCAGCCCTGTGATAGGGTTTTTTTGTTGTTTTGTTTTGTTTGGCTTTGCTTTTTCACTATGTAGCCCTGGCTAACCTAGAACTCACTATGTATATCAGGTTGGCCTTGAATTCACAGAAGTCTGCCTGCCTCTCCTGGAATTAAAACATGGGCCACCCCACTTGGCTATACCGAGATAGTTCTAAATCATGAGAGGCAGGGGGAGTGTGATAATCCATAACTCAAGTTAATAGTGTCTTAAAAAGGAAACTGAAGCTGGGTGTGGTGGCGCATGCCTGCAGTCCCAGGACTTGGGAGGCAGAGGCAGGTGGATCTTTGTGAGTTCAAGGCCAGCCTGGTCTACATAGTGAGTTCCAGGACAGCTGGGGCTACAGGGAGACCCTGTCTAAAAAAAAAAAAAAAAAAAAAAAAAAAAGAAAAGAAACTGAGGCAGGGGTGCTGGAGATATAGCTCAGTGAGTTAAGTGCTTGCATTGCAAGCATAAAGACCTGATTTCAGTCCCTAGCACCTGCATAAAAGAAGTTGGCGTGGTGATGTACATTATAATCCTAGCCCT